TGTCAAAGCCACCTCACGTGTTTTAGGTATTCTTGCCAAAAGCAGCGGGAATCATTCACAACATTCCATCAGAACCCAGCAGAGAAGGGCTGCTGTCTGAGAAGGCTGCAGTGTGCATTTTACCCCAGGGGGTAAAATGAGACCCGGGGCAGGGGAGGCACAAGTGTGTGGGGTGGGGGAAACCCAGTTGTGGAGGCTCAGTGGGACTCACATTGACTTTCAGGAGGAACCCATGGAACTGAACCTTCCCAATGAACCCCTAGTGAGGGTAGAGCATTACTCTGCCTTTAGCCTGCTGGCTCGATCCCCTCCCTCTCAGGTAGGGCTTCAGGAAGTCCTGGGGGTACGTGCCCTCCTCTCTCTCTGCCATCAGTGGGGGAGGATCATGGAGAATTAAATACCTCTGAAAAGAGAATGAGTCAGCTGCCATGTTGCCAGGTTACATCACGAACAACAAAACAGGGACCCTGGTTGGGCAGCACAGCCTGTCAAAACTCTGGAGGCCACAAGAGCGCTGTTTCCTGACCCCTCTCCCCCGTGGAGAGCCTCTGAGCGCTGTGGCCCGAGACACATGACGGGCTGCTGTGCGGACCGCATTCCAATATAAAATAATTAACATCAGGCCTGGATTAGAAAAAGACTCCCCTGTCGTGTGTTTTGACCCCTAAGCCTGACCAGTATTGCTGTCTCTCCCCCATTACTCAGTTCTTGGTTCTGATCCTGACTCTGGTGTCTTCGGACAATCCCTTGAATTTAGTGTTTTCCTGGTGAGGGGACGGTAGCCTCCCCCATGGTCTCCATTTTCCCACTCTGTCTGCCCTTCGTGTCTCCCACTGGTTCCAGAGGGAACCAGACCTGGTTCTGCACCCTAACCTCTATCCTGACCACTTGACCCACCTGCAGCTGCTTTCCTGTGGGGGTAGAATCTCAGATAGTCAAGAAAGAAACCCTGGGTGATGTGATGCTCACATGTAAGGGAGGCAGAATACCATCAGCTCTTAAAAGAGGGTGAAGGAGCAGCAGTGGGAGGGGCACCAAGGGAACTCCCAGTCTACACTTCTGGCTGCTTTACGATAACTCTTCAGGGTGATTTCTGGGAGTCCTGAGTTTTGTAGATGGGTTGGTCTAGAAAGTCAAAAAAACGGTCTTTCCCATCAAAATTGACTAGGTCTGTTTAAATCTGGGCTTGGGCAAATGAGTCTCTGTTTACCTGTTCCAGTGCCCAGCACAATGCCCAGCACATGGCAGACACGTGATAAATATTTGTCAGAAAAAAATGAATGAAAGCCACTAGATGCCATAGTCTCATGCGATCGTTATCACAGAAGGCCAGTGATGGCAGCCTTCCAGCCCTGTGGGTCGTGCAGTGGGCCTCCGTGGGAATGCAGCTGGAGGCATTCCCACTGGTTGCTATTTTACCTGCAACAGGCTCTGAGGAAGGAAATCCTCACCTTTCTAAGGCTCTTCTTCAAACTGCAGTTGTACCTATTTCTTCCAACCACAGTTTGCCAATACCAACTGGATGTCGTGCCATTCAGTTCAATTCTGACGGTCACTCCCTGGAGTTAGCACAGATCCCACAAACTAAGGACTCAGCCGCACAGGACTGCCCCACCTGTCCACTTCCGATACCAGATGCAAGTCGTGGTTAAGAAGTTAACTTCACTTCTGCCCAGCAAACTACCAATCTGAGGGTTCCTATGTTCTCTCCACCTTGGGTTTGATAATTCACTAGAACAGAGTTCTTAGTCTAGAACACGAGACTTGGGATTATAGTGTTCCCATAAAGGATACAACTCAGGACCAGGCAGATGGAAGGGAAGCCTAGAGCAAGGTAGGGGTTGCCACCATCCCAGCATCTCAGCGTGTTCACCAACTCAAACCTCTCCAAGCCTGTGTTCAAGAATTTTCCCTGAGGTTTATTATTTAGTCAGGATTGATTCAATCTCCAGTTCTCTTCTCCCCAAGATTGGAGAGTGGGCCTGAGAGTTTCAGCCCTCTAATCGTGGGGTTGGGTCTTTTGGCCACCAGCCCCCATCTGAAGCTCCCTAGGGGCCCCTTCCTATAAGAAATTCAGGTGTGGCATAATGGGGGCCTTTGTGAATAACAAAAGACACGCCCACCACATAGAAAACTTCCTGGCTTCGGGAACTCTGTGCCAAGAAGTAAGAAGAAGGAGCACATACGTATTTCTTTTTACACCACAGTAGAGGAAATATATTTGACAGACCCAGGAGTGGTTGGTCCTTCTGATCTCAGTTCATTGTTAGAGGGGCGTTCACTGGCCCTCCAGCCTCAGAGTAAGAATCTGTTCTTTAGGAGGATGGGCTATGCCCTTCCCTTGCTGCCACCCTTGACTCCAGTGTATTACAGTTTGAGGATCTTTAGAACGTCACATATTCTTTGCCTATAATGATCGAAAGAATTGCCTCAGGAACGTGGGTGCCCACTGGGTGGTTATGTTGCTCAAGGCCTGATGGGAGCAAAGTGGGCAGAGCCAGAGGGTCTGAGATTAGATGTGCATCCACACCTGATTCACTGTGTCATTTTGGAAAAGTCATTTATTTCCTGAGACCATTTCTAAACATAGAAGAAGTGTGAGGACACACTTTTCTTATCTCTCCATTTCAAGGTCCGGTGTAGATTGTGAGATAATCAGCCCATATAGGCTTACTCTTATGCTCAGGATGGATAGTTTGGATTGTGTGTTAAAGCGACTTGCCTTAATCCTGGCAAAACCTATGCTATTCCTCTTTGTCCTATGAAGGCACTAAGGAAAGAGAGGCTAAGGAAGCATTTGACTTTATTTATAATCTGCCCTCGCTTCAGGGGTCTCCAAAGCTTTCTTGCTGGCCAGAATCACCCATACCCCCCAGGTAGAGAGATTAGCAGGGCACAGCCTGTTTTACCTGAAACCAAATTTGGGCAGAGATGAGCCCCACCCTTCTATTTGTGGTTTGATAAAGACTGCCAGGAAGAAATGAAAACTAGGGTAACCTGCCAACCTGCAGGCAGAAAAGCCCTTTTCTGGAATGTTTTCAATGTAAAATTCATTGCCATCAAAGAACTCAAGTTTCTTTTTTTCCCCCTTCAATTTTTGTGAGAGGCCTGGGGCTTGTCTGTTGAGAATATAGATTTCAGGAGCATAGTTTTTCCCAGGGGGTCTTTGGTAAGAAAGATTATGGAAGAACAGATTCCAAAAGACATGACTCAAGAGGGTTTTTGTCTCTGGTTTGGAAGCCTGGGGCAGCTGCCTTTACCACGGCTGACTCTCCTTGGGCCCTTCCCAGCTGGCACCCAAAAAGCCCTCCTCTCATTGATTTCGGGTCTGCAAAGAATTTAAATGCCAAGGACGATTTCTCCAGTAACTTTATAAGCCAGTTAAAACCATTTAAGAGGCATTTGGAGGGGTGAAGGAAAGGGAAGGAAGTGGGGGAGGGATATAGTCTCTTCACCCCACTCGCAGTTTTGATTTTCTGTCCACCTTTCTTCTTTCCTATAGCCATCTGTCTAGTCCAGCACTGTGTTTTCTCTCGGCCACAGCATGAGAGGGGCTTCCAAACTCTTCTCCTCGTTCCCCACCGTAGCCTATTTTGTGTACCGTTTTCCTCTAGAAGGTGGGGCTGACTCTGCTGCCCTCCTGTTCTTCAGTGGCAGCTGGGCATGAGACAGGTGTGGGGTGTCTTCCGGTCCATCTGCTGTGGTTCCTGCTGGCCACCCCCTTCCATCTCAAGACGAAGGTCTCAGTCCAACCCTTTCTCCATTGAGACGGTTCACTTGTAAATGCACCCTTCTATCCAAGGCAGTGCTGGGTGCAGAACTGATTTTTAACAGTATATGGGGATGAGGGTACTCCCCTGCCATGGGGCCTTTCTCCAGGGGTGGCATCTCAAATTCTTATTCATGTTCTACCCACTTCTTGGCCACACTCCCCTCATCTTCCCAGATTCCATCAATCAAAATGCATCACTCCCTGTACTTCTGTACTTCCTGTACTCTGTAACTTTCTGTTCTCCCATACTTCCTGTACCTTTGTACTTCCTGTACTTCTGTACACTTCCTGTACTCCTGTACTTCCTATACTTCAGTATACTTCTTGTATTCCTGTATACTTCCTATAATTCTGAAGTGCTTTATTGCCTCTTTATTATCCCCATGTTGCAGATGTTACAGTGTTGTGAGTCAGAGTAACCATGATGTTTGTCTTTGCTCTCAAGTGGGTTCCAGAAGGCAGGGATTACTGTTTTCTCTAGCACCTACAAGAGAGACTGGCATATAATAGCCGCTCAACAAATATTTGTTGAATAAATGACTAAACTTCTGGAGAATAGGACCTGTGTCTTTTTAATCTTTGGATCCACCACAGCATCTTCACATTAAAAATAGATCAATAAATATCTTTCTGGATTATTCATTTAAATAGAGTTCATGTCTTAAAACCTTTGCAGGAACAGCCTCTTAAAGGTGAAAGTCCGGTTATGTCATATTGCACGGTGGCTATAACCATGTCAATTTCCGGGCCTTCGCATTATGTCACATATTCTCTCTGATCTGTGGAAGACAGTATGCAAAAAGCTCTACAAAAGCGTGTGTGTGTGCGCAGGACCATGAACATGCATGCACATGCACATACACAAAATTTTGAAAGTATATAACGAGTCATTTTTATGGGAAAAGAATTGAAATCAGGCCTAACTCTGAAAGCTGGAACGTATGCTACCATCTTCATAACGAGTTTTTCTAAAATTTGGAATTCTTTCCTTCTGGGGGACAGCATTTTATATATGCACATCTTAACCTCCATGGATGCCAGAGACCAGATATTAAACTTTAAAAATGTTCCACTCTCCTCGGTTTTCAATACTTGCTGAGCAATCGAGTTGTTATCCTGCAGGACAGTAAAGGAGCTGTTTCCACGTGAGCTTTTTGTTTGGTCTGCTGGGTTACTTATGTTTTACAAATGAGCATTCATTTCTGTCCGGGTGTGACCTCTTTTCCAGGGAAGTTCCCTTGAAGGACGCTAAGGAATATGCTGAATCCATAGGTGCTGTCGTGGTTGAAACAAGTGCAAAAAATGCTATTAATATCGAAGAGCTCTTTCAAGGAATCAGTAAGTACCTGAATTGCACTTTCAGCTTTGCCTACATTTGTATGCTTCTGGGAGTAAAAGCATAAAATCACAGAGTGCTGTGCTCGAGCTTTCCCTCTGTGTGAATTTGTCTGATGCCACAGATATAAAAGTCACAGTCTGCACTCCTTAGTCGGGGCCTATATGTGTCTTCCGATCCTGAATGGCTATAGTTCTGTGCTTTAACCTGTTGATTCTGTGTTTTGTGAATCAAACGAAGTAACTCTGTCGCAAAATAAGTCATTTTAATTAAAACGTGTATGGGGCACCTAGGTGGCTCCGTCAGTTGACCATCTAACTTAGGCTCAGGTCATGATCTTGCGGTTCATGGGTTCGAGCCCCACATCAGGCTCTCTTCTGTCAGTGTAGAGCCCACTTCAGGTCCTCTGTTTCCGCTTCTCTCTGCTCCTTCCCCGCTGGTTCTCTTTCTCTCTCTCTTTCTCTCTCTCTCTCTCTCTCTCTGTCTCAAAAGAAATAAGTAAACTTAAAAAAGGTTGTGTATGTGATAGCATTTTATGTTTGTATATTGAAGGGAAGAGAAATAAAATAGGCACTGATAAGGTATAGAAAACTAATGTTGTGCGTTAAACGGAAGGACTCTAGGCAAACAAAGTAAAGGAAACTTTCAGTAATTTCTTTTGCTTGGGGGGTTCATCAACAAAAATTGAATCTCTATCCCTCAAGACCAGAAATTGGGGACTGAGTGGACGGTCAATTTCATAAAGATTTTTCTCCGTTCTGATCAGCCAGTTAGTGGAAGGTAGTAGCTCCCATCTTCATCTCCTGTTCTGGGCTATGTTATAATTCCCTTTCTTTATGCTGGTTCCCATAAGTAAGCTTTATCTCAGACCTGTTTCCCAGCTGATGGCCAGATTTCCTCTTCACAACTTCTTTGGTAAAGACGTCTGAGCTAGGTCCCCTCAGAAAGCTACCTGCTGACAGCTGTCTTGAGAAACTGTCCCCAGATGCCTCTGGAGCATAATCAGGGACTTTGCAGAAGGGTCCATGTTTACTGAAGTGAGGAGACCCAGTGGCCCGGGGTACCCGCCTTATGAAAAGTTGAACCCCTGCACGGTTGGCAGTTGTTCTCAAAAGTCTTATCTGGCTCCAGACAATTCCAGAAGGGAATTCCAGAGGGGAAACGGACGGTTTGATCTCTCTTCTGCCTGAAGTCATAGTTGGTGGTGCTCTCAAAGTCCAAGAGGCCTTCACTTCCCAGAACGGATTTGATTTCCTTTTAACTGGTTTTGGTTCATTACTTTAGGCTCTGAGAACCCTCAGCAGGGATTATTTTGTTTGTTTCTCTTGGCTTGATGGGGAATTCACTGGAAGATGGGGAACTCTGACCGGGGTTACTTACATGATACGGAAATGCACCAGAACACACAGCGAAGGCCTGAACAGCCCCAGCTTCACTTGTTCTTTGGGGGTCCACATCACCTTCCCTCCCATCCTCCTTCAGAAGGGTTCGTTTGTCTGCTATCATTTCACCCTCTCAACAAAATAGTGTCGATCCAAGTGCATTGACCTTTGTGGTTGAACTCGAGAGTGGTAGGCTGTAATTTTATGTTGCAAACGCTGGATCCCCAGACTCCTGCTCCTTCCTGAAAATGGGCCATGGATGGAATGCCTCAGCTGTCCTACATCTGTAGCTGTGGAATGCTGGGTGACCTCTTAGAGAGTTTGGCTTGACCTCATTCCATTAACCTCATTTTCCCTCGGATCAAACTCATTCTTTTCTGGTGGCGTTCGGCTTTTCTGGTATGTTAGGCAAGTTGTGTGACTATTCAGTATTTTGTTTGGATTAAAGGTTTTACTTGGTGAAGCTAGAGAGCTCCTGATGACATTGACCCCTTTCCTTTGTGCAGCTCCTTATATGTTCTAGAGCCCTTCCCCACAGCTTTAGCTCCTAGAAGGCCCGATGGTGCAGCCAGCAGTGCCCAGTGAAAGAAGCACAGTGCTCTGCATACCGGAGAGTCAGCTTAAGGGTTCTGCATGAGCCGGGAGATTTTTTGAGGTTTACACAAATCATTATTAAAACGAAGAGTGAAATAAGAACCGCAAAGAAGAAAATAAGCCCAAGCAGCAAGTATTAATATCTTAACTTGAAAGATACTTCTTTGTGTGGTCGAGCCAGTATACACCTGTTCACCCCTAGGAGGTCTTTATGGCTCAAGGTGATGGGGACCTTGAGTAAGGAAGTCCTAAGATCTTGGTGGTCTGCTTCATTTAAGAAAAAGCAAGTGTTTTGCCTAAAGCACTGGGTAATTATGGCTTCAAATAATTCCTGTATAAGCCATACAATAACTGTTATCACTTTGTCTTTCAGGTCAAACAAACAAGTGCTTGTTTCTGTTTCATTCTCCGTTGGTTAACATTGCCTTGTAGGGCTCCAGGGTTCCTCCTGGCCTTTGACTCTTGACTTGGGCTCAGACTGTGATCTCAGGGTCATGGGATTAAGCCCTGCATTGGGCTCTACACTGGGTGTGGAACTTGTTTGAGAATCTCTCTCTCATCCTCTGCCCCTCCCTGTTTGCACACTCTCTCTCTCAAAAAAAGAAAAATTGCCTTAGCAAAGAAGCCTGTAGATCCACGGCCCACAGTACTGTAAGCGCTGTACTGTAAGGGGCCTCTTCACTCCTTCAGGTGAATTTCTTCACACTCGGGTGTGGTAGCCTAATAACAGGTTAATTTGAACTGCAGTACCAAGTACGCCTAAATACACCACAGCCTAAGTTTCATTTATGTGTTCTCCCCTGCTCCTACTTGTATTACATGTGCTCCTTCTGAGCTGAAAATAGAACGCGCTATTGCTGACTTGTACCTTCCCCAAAGCAGTGTTCCAGAGACAAACGTGCCTGGGAGAAAGGATGCAATAAAAGTGGTGAGAGTAAAACCCTTTAAAAAGGTGTGCTTAAGCAAAATGAAGTCGTATCGACTTGGATGAAGAGACAAATATTCCTCTTCTGTATTCCCAGGGTGTTCATAAAGCAGAAAGGAGACAGCTGTGTTTTCTAAGCATGAGTTAAGGTATTTACTAACTGGAAGTTGCTTAGCGAAATATTGTCTGTTTTCAAGGCTAAAGCTACCCTGTAAAGGACCTTGTAAAAGTACTGCCCTATTTTGGAGTGGTGGGGGGAGAGGCCTGCACACGGTCTGTCCCCACATAGTGTACTGTTGACTGGTATTCCTCCAGGTACCCTCTCCTCAATGACATTTTTGGATCTCCTTTGCCCTACAGCATATGACTCGTTCCCTTCCATGCATTTCTCCCCAGAAATTTCTCTTTCTTGAGGTCTTACGCCTTTAATTTGAACATCAGAGTTTTCCTCTTTGAGTTAAAAGCGAATTCTTCTTGGCAAAGAAAATTATGGTACATTGGAATGTTTCAGTTGGTGTGTGAAAGCACAAAGAATATTCTTGTTGCTGTGTACTTATTACAATGTTACGAATCAAAACCCAAGTCTTGGTGGCCTTCCCTGCCAACTACTCTCTCTGCCTGACTCTAATCTTGAGAGGCAGGGTACGGAGCTCCGACATCAGCATTTGCTTCTTAGCAGGCTTTGTCTTTATCCCCTCCTCCATCCACTTGCTGTCTCTGGTCCTGATGGGATGCTTCTCCTTCCTCCCTGCAAACCCGAATTCCTTGAAGGTCCAGTTCATATCTTTATCCTTCACGAAGTCTTCATCTTCCCCAACTCCCATGGGTGGCTCCTGAAGTTACTTATGGCTTCCCCCATCATTCTGCCATTTGAACATATTTAAGTGATTAAATTAAATGAGCACATTACGAACGCTCTCTAAGTGGTATACACTTCGTGCAAGTTCTCTGCCAGCAAGTCTTGTTCTGTCACGTTCCCCATGAAGCTAAGACGAGTAGATAGCATAAGTGCCCAGTTTGGTCTTTTGAATTTGGTTCTTCATTCCTGCCTCATGATATTCCAGGGGCAGTATTTCAGCGCGGTCACTAGATCAAGTGAAACGTGGTCACTCTTCTCTGGGGACTTAAGGTTGGATGACACGGGCCAGTTGCACAGGCTGAGTTATGTCTTTATTTGCTTATTCGACAAATGACACTTCTGTGGGTCAGGTGCCTTGCCAGATACCAGGGACACCACAGTCAACAAAACAAACTGGCAGGCGGGCGGGAAGACAGCCTGTGGGCAGAGAGCCAAATAAGTATATGATGACACATTGTAATAAATGCTTTGAAGCAGAACAAGGATGCAGGAATAGTGACAGGTGGGGACTTTAGATCGGTGGGGGAGATCTCCCCAGGGAAATGATTTTAAGCTGGACCTGGAAAACAAGGAGAGGCCAGTTGGGCAAATTGCTCAGGAGGAGCCTCAGGCCGAGTGAGCACCATGAGTGGAGTTCCTGAGGCTGGAAGTGCTGGGCTGCATTTAGGAGAAAGTGGGTCGCTGGGGACTGCAGGTGGCGAGCTCAGGCACCCCTAGGTGGGGAGCGTGGAGACGGAGCCAGGTGCTTGCTCGGTGTCATGTTGGGATGGAGGAGGTGATATTCTGGAAGCCTTGCACGGGTTTTAAGCAGGGGTGGGCCACAGCTGGGTACACAGTGATGGAACGCTCACCCTTGGGGAATGGGCAGGGGGAGAAGGGATGGAAATGGCTCCCCGATTTAGGTGCCGTTGCAGTCATGCCATGGAGAGGAGGCTGGGACCAGGTGGAGGGATGTGGATGTGAACTTCAACAATCTTTCGGAAGTGGAGCCAGTAACACAGGGAAACAGGCTGGGCTTGGGGGCCGAGGGAGAGAGTGGTGCGCTCCAGACTCCCGGGTCTCCGTTCCTGGAATGAGGACAGGCTACCAATGAGCAGACTCTCCTGGGGCTGCATCTGTTGCGAGTCCGGCGCACTGGATTCCGGAGTGTGAGAAACACAAGTTTTGGTGTGTGGATTTTAATTATTGCAACTCCAATACCATTTCATTTTTGGCGTTGTTTTTTAACTCTCCCTAAGAGCA